ATACGGGTGAGTAACAACCAGCCAGCCCTGCCAGCCCACATCCTCTCTCAAATAAGAAAATAGCTACAGGGGAAATACAAGGCCAGTGTTTCCACTGGGCAGCTTATGAGAAGTTGTGGATCAGGGCGAGCTGGTCAGGGTTGGATGGCTGTGCTTCTCCAACCTGGGAGCCAAATAAAACAATGGTCTCTGAAAAGCTCTTCTCCCTCCCTTAGTGTTTGAATCCAGTCTCTTTCATGTGCCACTATTCAGATATGAATGAGGGTTAATATTGGAGAGGGGATTACCACATAGTATCTGTCCTGCCTCTGTGGTGAAGTTACACAGGTCTGCTGTGCACTCTGACTAGGTGACAGGTTTCCTTGCTTTCATTCCCATCAGAAGGTGGGCAATAGCCTTCTCCTTAGCTGAAAGCTTCAGGGAGAACCTGTAAACAAGGAGTGTGGAAGACATTCTTTTGACCTCACAGGCAACTTTTGTTCCATGCAAAATGTGCCAGGAGACTTAGACTAAAGCCTTGTGTCTTCCTCTAGTTCTTAAAGTGCCTGGGGAAGGGGCAGGTGGTCCAGTGAAGGAACAAGAGGAGGCCACATAATGAGACAGTGTTCCTTCTCCTCAGGTGTTCGAGGCGCTGCAGGAGCTGGTGTCCAAGGGCCAGGAGAATGGTCACCCTGTGCAGCCAAAGGCAGAGCTGCTTCGCACGAGGAACGTCAACAAATCACATGAGCACGGTAAGACACTTCTGAGGGCAGGTGCCTCACAGTGCTCCTTCCTTCCTTTCTCCTCCCTTCCTCTGTCCTTGTTTGTAAAAGCCATTGGGAAACAAGCATGAGGTGCTTGCCCCATCTCTTCTCCAGCCATGAGCAGGTAGTGCAAGGAGAGGCACTGCTGTGTGCAAAGCTTCCTCTAGACATGACAGAGCAAGGATAACACATGTGGGCTCTTCAGAAAGTGTGTCAGGGAGGAAGCTTTACAAAAAGAGACTTCTCTCTCCACCTCTAGGACTTTAACAAATGTAAGGTTCATTCACCCCAGGCAAAACTGACCTTGAGTTCACAGAAGCAAAGGCATCAATTTTGGGTGCTGCAGATCGGCCGTGGTGCTGTGATGCTGACAGAAGGTTCTTCTGGACACAGTCCTATCCAGCAGCCTGTCCTTTTGGACTGTATCTCCCTCTGATCATTTTCCTGTCTCCCAGAAGTATTTCCTGAAAACACTCCAGAGCGTGTGCTGGGTTTACAGTGAGCACTGCTCTGGATGGTGGAATGTCATCAGGCTTGTACCTGAGTGAGCTCAGATTGTTTACAGAGCAGAATGGTTTCCATGAGGACACACAATTCAAATAAAAAACCCTTTATGGCCTACCCATTCTGAAACTAAAATGGAGATTTGTTTTCAGAGCATCCTGGATTGAACCACAGTTTTTCTATAGCAAAGATGAAAGGCAAACCTTGCCTTAAGCATCTCTGGATAGTGAAGCTTAAAGCAGCTTCTGTGGGAAAGGCATTAAAAGTTCCCTGTGAAACGTTGCCATTCCTTTCCCAATACATGCATACAAGTAAGATTTTCAGACAAATTTAGTGTTGGATGAGGAATCCCATCCTGAAGTTGTACTGCAGAAATTGCTTGGAGTGCTGAAGACTGTTCAAGGTCTTTAGATGCTTAACTAATTAAATCAGTGAGAAGTAGGACACAAAATGCCCTTTAAAATTCTAGCTTCAGTACTTGTCTGTCTTCTGCACACATCAGGGGTTTGGAGCTGGGCAGTGCACGTGTAAGCCTGTAAGGAGACAAGGGAAGAGCTGGTAGTCAGCTACAGGCAGAGGGGCTGTGGGCCTTTGTGATTCCCAGACCAAGTCTGCTGCTTCCCCTCTCCACTGGGAGAGCAGAAGCTGCTGCCAATGTTTCTCCCAGCTGAGCTCTGCGCTTTCTTCTTCTTCCCTGGGTGACTCCAGTAGGGCGTGCTCTGGCACTGGGGAGAAAGAGCAGCTAGCAGCTGCTCTTGCACAACTTCTTGCCACAACCTCTTCTCACTTGTCTTTATTTGCTTTTTCTCCCTATTTGATCTAGGTCCAGCAGCTGGGAAGGAAAGTGAGAGGACGAAGATGAGGAAGACAGACACGCCACCCACCACGTCCCTGGTGCGGTGGATCGTGGCGCTCAGCTTCCTCGCCATGACAGTCGCCGTGGGCTTGTTTGCCATGTGAAAATGCAGGACCTTCACTTTCTCTTTGTGACTCCCCTCACCCTGAACTAATCCACCTTCCCAGTCCTTGTGAGAGAAATTACCCCTGACTGGGTACTGTGATCTTGGTTCCGCCACTAATACTAGGAGACTTTTCTCCCCAGAAATCAAAGAGTGCTGTAAGGGGGTTCAGGCAGTTTCTCCTGTGCTTGGCGTGAGCTCTTCTCAGAGACTAATTTTATCATCAAAAAACAAGGGTGCAAAAGGCTAAAAACAATGGCTAAGAATTGCCATTGCTTTACAGAGTGCCTACAAAAACCCTACAGGATCAGAAACACAGCTTTGGCATCTGTCTTTCCTCAGAAAGACGGAGCTCCTTGGAGCTCTGTTTGCTCAGTTTTTTTATACTGTTAGATAATACTGTGATCACTTTCTCTGCGGAGCCACGTGGCTCCCACGGGTTACAGACAGTTTTACATGACACTAGTAGGTCTTTGTTATTTCTTTTTCTCATTATTTTTGTCTTTGAAAAACAAAAGACAGTTGTTGGACATACAGTGTCATTCTTGTCTGGTTGTATAATTTATACACATAATAAATTTCAATGTAAAGTCTTCAGGCCTGGTGTTTCCTATTATTAAAGCCTTACCCAGGGAAAAAGGAGGTGTCTTTCTTCCTCCTGGTTTTATGTCTTTTGGAGCTGCTGCCTGCACAGACATGACAATAGACAGAAGTGGGAGCTACCATCAGAGGCAGACTCTGCTCCCACTCAGTGCTAACAATAACCTGTTATAAGCTGGGGCAGGTTCCTTCGGCTCCTACACACTGCTCTCTATTTCTAGAAACAGCATGAAATTCAATGAGTGTGCAAAGTATTTTTAAGGGGTGGAAGTAGTACATAAGAGCTGGTTGCTATTCTATCGCAAGCAAAAGGGGATGGGACCCTCAGCTGGCCAAAACCAGGAAGCTCTCCCTGAACTGCCAGCAAAGGGCTGCGTTACCAGGCTGCCTTTGTAAGAGCTTCCGAGCCAAAACTGCCAAGTGTGTTTTCACTACCCAAAAGTTAAAGGCACCCTAGGTTTTGGTCGAGGCAGGCATCAAGCACACAGCCACAGCCCTTGCCCGAGTGGCAAACCAACCCGCTCACTCCCAGGGCTGGCACGCACGTGGCCTTGCTACAGGCACTGCAAGCACACAGCTCTGCCGGAGCAGCCCGCGCACACAGCTCCCTGGCCTTGCCTTCTGCCGAGGCACATCTGCAGGGCTGGGTTTGTGTCCAGCCACGGGCCCTGCCTGCTCCAGGAGCTCTCCCAACACAGGAGAGGCTGCGGTTCGGGTATGGCACTGCAGGTACTGACAAAACTGCCGTGTTATCGCCTCAGAGTCCTCTCTTTATTCCAGAAAGCCTCTGTGATCAACCTGTCTCCATGATCTGCCTGTTCTGGCTGTGACCTTAATCCCAAAGACACATGTTCCTACTGATCTGTTTTGATGACCAGCACCGAACCTGCTCAAAGAACAAGAATCAGAAGGCAGGTCCTGCTGAGAATGAGCAGTGGGAAAACAGGACTGTCATCATTCTCAGGCTCTTTTCTACTCTGCATCCCTTCCCCAACCCCCTTCAATAGTTCTCTCTTTGGATCCACCTGCCAGAAGAAATAGTTAATTCTCGAAAAAGATAGTCAGGTGTTTGAAGAGCAGGAATATGAGGTTTGATAGCTATTTAAATACAAGAACTTGTTCATTCAGATCTGAATTAAGTTCTACCTATTGAGTCACTCTAAACCACCCAACTAAACCATTTTGTTCATTCAAACATGCTCAGGAAGCTAAGATCCCCAAGAGACAAACAAATGCCATGAGCACAGAAACACTCCACCACACTCAGCCCTTCACTCCTCAGAGAGCCCGACTGCAACCTCAAAGTTGGAAAATGTGGGTTCTGACTGGTATCACACCATCCCTGCTCAAGGCAGGGGCGAGATGGCGCTTTGGGTGTGACAGCCATTGCTGTCACACATAGAAGATTCCAGACTGAGCCTCAAGTGCGCAGAAATGGAGACCAAGGCTTTGTTTGTACCTGTCTATGATCTTTATGAGCACATCTGGTTTCTCTGCAGCAACGACACCCTCTTTATTTCCCAGGGGCTGCAGCTGAGGCCTCCCCTGCCACCCGCACCGCGCCTCCCAGCTCACTCTGCACTGAGGGCGCGCATTACCGCGCTTTGCAAGGGCCAAAATGCGCACCCAGCCACCTGCCACCCTTCCCCCTAAATTCACTAACAGCCAGGAGGAAGGCATGCGGGAGGACTCGTGTCCTGAGGGCCTGGAGCAGTGACGGGCCCCAGCCGTCCCAGGAGCCTACAGCAGTAATTAACTCACGATATTCCGCCCGCAATGGTATCACCCGCTCCCCCTGCGCGCCCCGCCGCAATGGTGCGGCCCGCCCGCCATTTCGCCTGCCCCCGCCCTTCGCTCCCAGATTTCGCGCCACACCGCTGGGGGGGGCAGGGGGCGGAGCGCCCGGCCAATCAGAGGCGGCAGCGGCGCCGCGCGCTCCCTCTCGGGGCGGGGCGGGAGGGCGGCTGCGGCCCAATCGGCGGCGGCGCGCGGCGGGCGGGCCAATCGGAGCGCGCGCCCTGAGCCGGTTTGGTTTCCGCCGCGCGCCGCTTTTGCCGCGAAAAAGTTGGGAGCGGGTTCCGGCCGGGAGCGAGGTGCGGAGCGGCAGGGGATGGGGATGGGGATGGGGATGGGGATGGGGATGGGGATGGGGATCGGGTTGTCCCTGGGGCACTGCGGGGAAATAGCGCGGCCCGTGCGTGGGGCGCGGTGCGGGGCGCTCGGCGGGGGCGATCCCGCGGGGCGTTGGGTGCGGGCGGGCAGGAGGCGGCCGGGGCTGACGCAGCGCTCTCGCCCCGCAGCGGAGCAGCAGCCGCGATGTCCGGCTTCGACGACCCCGGCATTTACTACAGCGACAGTTTTGGGGGAGACGCACCCGTGGACGAGGGGCAGGTTCGGAAGTCGCAGCTGCAGAAGCGGTTCAAGGAGTTCCTGCGGCAGTACCGGGTGGGCACGGATCGGACGGGCTTCACTTTCAAATACAGGTGCTGCTGTGGCCCCTTTTCTCCGTCTGAGCCTTGCCCATCCCCACCTGCACGTCCAATCTGCTCTTAACCTCCCTCCTGCAGTGCACTCCCCACAAACACAAAAGCCGCTTTGTCTCTTCTCGTAGGCCACAAAGAGCTCAGTATTAAGAGATGCTTGTATTTAACACGATAGAAAAGTAGAGATCTGGTGTTCTCACAAAATTTTAGGCAGCCAGTCAGTGGAAAAGGTCGCGATAGAGGGATCCACACTTCCAGGCTTGCACTTAGTTCTGAGATTCAAGGGCTGTCTTTGAAGCTGTAGTGCTTTCTGGTTTGGAGAATTGTATGTATCCATTAAATCAGTGCACCACTCTCCACGTATGCCTTCCAACTCTGTGAAGTTCCATTGGCCACCCTTTGCTTATGCAGTTTGGAGACAGTGTTGAGAAAACATGGAGATACATCATAATCACGGGTTAGAACAGTCTTTCACCCCTGAGTTTCATTAATCCCGGCATTTTTAAGGAAAATGTTGTCTGTTCTGTTATTTCCTTTGTTTTAAACCACATCTTATGTATAGTTTTTATCCTATGTAGAAATTTTCTCATTTCCAGTAAATACTTTACATTGCCACTGCAGCACTGGTGTCCCTGGTCTTATGTCACCTTTCAAAGTGGGCTTGGATGAAAGATTACCCAGCTTCCCCTGGAACTCACCTGATTTTCCCTGCTTGCTTTCCAAACCAAGGACTCCATGCAGAGCCTGCCTTTTCTGATCCCTGCTTGTTCTAAGGCCGCTGTGGGTGACTGGTGCTTTCTGCCCTGCAAACCTTTGCCACTTCCTGTCTTCCAGGGATGAGCTCAAGCGGCATTACAACCTGGGGCAGTACTGGGTGGAGGTGGAGATGGAAGACTTGGCCAGCTTTGATGAAGATCTCGCAGACTATTTGTACAAGCAACCAACAGAGCACCTGCAGCTGGTAAGGATGGAGGTTGGCAACCTAGAATATTGTCACGAGAGCAGCTCTGATGTTCTGCTGTAACAGACCCACTGACAGCCCATTGTTCCCTCTCTAGTTGGAAGAAGCAGCAAAAGAAGTTGCAGATGAGGTCACTCGTCCTCGTCCCTCAGGGGAGGAGGCTCTCCAAGACATCCAAGTGATGCTGAGGTCGGATGCCAACCCAGCCAACATCCGCAGCCTGAAGGTGAGGTGAAGCGTGTGGGTGTGATTGCAGGGGAGCTTTTGGGACCTGGTCACATGGCTCAGGACACAGGTCACTCACTAATTTAAGAGCAGCGTCACTCTGCAGGTGAAATCTGACTGCCAAGGGCTGTTACTGCTGGGTCCTGCTGCAGGGACATTAGTGGTGCTCCGCACAGTGTTCTGTCCTTCGCTCTCATGCTGTGTTGTTTCCCATCCATCTTCCATTGATGTTTTTCTCACCTTCTCTTCGCCTTTCCCTTTTCAGTCTGACCAGATGTCCCACCTTGTGAAGATCCCTGGGATTGTAATTGCAGCAACCCCCGTGAGAGCCAAAGCCACCAGAATCACCATCCAGTGCCGCAGCTGCCGCAACACCATCAGCAACATCGCCGTGCGCCCGGGCCTGGAGGGCTACGCTCTGCCCAGGAAATGCAACACGTAAGGCCTGACACAGGCATGCACCAGCAGCCTGGAGGGCGAGAAAAGACTGCATTCCCTGCTCCTGCTGCGCCCCATGCATTGCAGAATCTGCTGCCAGTGGGCAGTTCTGGCGGGCAAGTTCTAGCTGTCCCTCTGTGGTCATGCTGGTTGTGACCCTGCGTGGTCAGTGCTGCTTGCAGTGTTGAGTGACACCGTGTACAGGGAGTTGGTTTTTTTTTCATAGGGAGTTTCGCCTCTTGTACTTAAAGGTTCACTCCTGCCTCCAGCTTCCTGTCCCATAATGCTTTGTTAAGTTGCTCTCCTCTTTTCCAAACAAACTCCTTGCTTCCACATTCCCACTCCTGAGTGAGCTGTTTTGTGTTGCATTCCTTGGGGATGCTTTTCTACTAAGCTTTTTGTCCTGCTTTACACCTCCTGGTGCTTCTGAGAACTGTGAGCATTAGACTGCCATTGTGCTGCAGCTCTCGAGGCAGCCGATCCTGGTGGGTTGTGTCTTTGGGCTCATACCTGCCAGTATTTATTTTCTGCACCTGAACTCTAATGCAGCTTGAGATGGGTTTGGGCTAGGGATCACTCTTGTGTGTGGTCTGTACAGCACCTCGCTCCTGATCCCTGACTGCATGAGTGCCTCTACTCTGGGATTGCCCTACCTGAAAGCCCTGCTTGGAGTCAGGCATCAGTCGTGTCACTCTGAGACAGCAGCAGGACATGGAGCTGCTCTATGTCTCAGAGAGCTTGTAATCTAGCTAGGCAGATATGGCTTGAGAGACTGGGAGGTGGATGTCAGCCTTGTGACATTGCTAATTGCTTTCTCACCAGAAACCACTTAACATTTGCTTCGTGCATGAGGTTGTAAAGAAAAACGCCCTGCCGTGTCACTGAGTCTGTGCTGCTGCCTTCTGTGTAATTAATGAATTACCTTCCCTGCTTAGAGCTAGCAGGGGAGGGGTGGGAGGCAGGGAGAGTGCTCAGACAAGTGTCACCCTGCCTCTGGCTTGTTCTCATGTACACATTTGGCACTTGTAGAAGACGAGACAGAGGGCTTGCTGGCCTTTGGTCTGCCCTGTGTGTCTGCCCTTAGCTGCTGATGTGGCACTGCTTGGAAGGGGCAGCTGCCCTTGCTGTCGCTGCTGTCCCCTCCACAGGAGCACTCCAAGGGGTGACTCTTCAGTGCTAACAGCCTCCCCTGGTCGATCTCTCTGCACAGAGAACAAGCTGGCCGCCCAAGGTGCCCTCTGGACCCTTATTTTATCATGCCAGATAAGTGCAAGTGCGTGGATTTCCAGGTTCTGAAACTGCAGGAGTCTCCAGATGCTGTGCCACACGGGGAGATGCCCCGGCACCTGCAGCTCTACTGCGACAGGTACTGACACCGCCTTCCCGCCCCGCCCCTGCTGCCTGTGGCTGCTGCCAGCATTTCCCACCACCATCCTCTGCTTTCCCGTCTCCTCTTAGGTACCTGTGTGACAAAGTTGTCCCAGGGAACAGAGTCACTATCATCGGGATCTACTCCATCAAGAAATCTGCGCAGAGCAAGAACAAAAGCCGTTACAGTGTGGGGGTGGGCATCCGGAGCGCTTACATCCGCGTGGTGGGCATCCAGGTGGACACGGAGGGCTCAGGTGAGGGCAGCTTTTGGTGTGCATTTGGTCTGTGTTGGTAGCCTGGTGTTGTTGGTAGCTGGTGTTGACAATCCCCTCCCTGTTCCTGAACAAGGTGATCCCTCAGCAAGAACTGTTTGAAATCACAGCCTTCGTCCTTCTCTGCTGTTTATGTAACAGAAGGTTCAAGCCATTCCTGGGACTGACTTGCCCTGGGTTCTCTGTAGTCATGTCCTGTAAGGCTTTTTCTCATTCATATTAAATGAGGAGGGCTCAGCCTGAGTCCTTTAGGGTGTTTAAGTGAGAATCTGCTATGCCATCCCTGAGGGTCCCAGCTGAAGTCCATGGTTAAGATTGTATTTAAAAGATGGTCCTGACTGTAATTCTCCCTCTGGTTCCTGCAGCGCCGCTTTGCCCAAGATCCTTGCTTTTTCTTATCAGCCTCTAAGGACAGAGCCTGCCTTGCTGAGTTAGCAGATGCTTTCCCTCTCCACCCTTCCCACCTGTTGGCACTTGGCATGATTTTCAAGAGGGAATTTTGGTTGCAGTGCGTGTTGGGGGAGTGATACAGTTTCCTTTAAAACCTCCATTTGTTCTCTGTTGCATTATTCCCCTCATCCCTGTCCAGGACATAGCTTCAGTGGCTCGGTGACGCCTCAAGAAGAGGAGGAACTTCGTCGCCTTGCTGCCATGCCCAACATCTACGAGACCATTGCCAAGAGCATCGCACCCTCCATCTACGGCAGCACTGACATCAAGAAGGCCATCGCCTGCCTCTTGTTTGGAGGCTCCCGCAAGAGGTGGGGAAGAGTCAGCCTTTGTTACCAAAGTCAGTGTTTTGTCATCAAAATCAAGGCTCACCATCTCTCCTCCCTCTCTTCTTCCCAACCCCATCACTCCAGGCTCCCGGATGGCCTGACCCGCAGAGGGGACATCAACTTGCTGATGCTGGGGGACCCTGGCACGGCCAAATCCCAGCTGTTGAAGTTTGTTGAGAAGTGTTCGCCCATTGGGGTACGTGGCTTGAGGTGCCCACTTAATAGGGCACCCTTTACTCTCTTCTGCTCCTGGTCTAGCCCCAGAGACAAGACCGTGGTCATGGCAGACACCTGCCTGCGCATCCACAGGCAGACTTGCTGGCTGAGGCGTGAACCGCCATTTCCAGTACTAGCCTAGAAGGGATGGGGAGTGAGGGAGGGAAGGGGAAGAAAGAAGGTCATGCCTTTTATTATGCTGTGAGCCAGGGTGTTTGCAGATATCCAAAGACATGCCTGGTGGCGTTGTTTATTGTTGAGACTTGATCAGCAGAGGGGCTGGCTGGTCAGGACAAATTAAGTTGACTGCATCTCAGGCACGGACCTCCAGCTTGAGCCCAGGCACAGAATTATGTTTTCAGCTGTGTTTTTTTGTAGTCTCTATTAAACTCAGCCTCTGACTGTATTGTTCCCTCCAGGGGCAAACAAAGCTAATGCAGTAGCCCACCAAACAATGAATCACTCCCTCTTCTGTACTTAATATCTGTGTTTGTGTCTGCATGCCCTGTGGTGTGTCACAGCTGCTTAGTCTGAGGCTTGGGATGAGGCAATAACCCTGCTCTTTATCCAGCATGTCTGCTTTTTACATGTGCCGAGGGCTTTTCCTGGAGGTTCTTCCCCCAGGAGCTCTGGATTTTGTGGTGCCAGGGATGTTTTGTCTCTCTGCTGGAGCGGTGGGCTCTTGGGTGCTGCTGCAGCTGATGTACTGTCCCTTTCCTTATTCCACGTGCCACTAGGTGTACACCTCAGGAAAAGGCAGCAGCGCTGCTGGCTTGACTGCCTCAGTGATCCGTGACCCTGTCTCCAGGAATTTCTTCATGGAGGGAGGAGCCATGGTGCTGGCAGACGGAGGAGTGGTGTGCATCGATGAGTTTGACAAGGTACCTGTGGGGCTGCCTGTGTGGGAGTGGGAAGGAGAGCCCTTGGGATACCAGCTTGTCCCAGCAGAGCCCAGAGCTGCAGGAGGAAGGGCAACTCCTCTGAGACTCCCTTACTTCCTTTCAGGGAAGGTCAGGGGGATGGGGTTGCAAGGGAATTCAGTCTGCCCTCACAGACCTTTATGTTGGGGGTCACTCAGTGAGTGTGTAGCAGAGGTCTGGCAGAGGTGACTGATGGTGACTTTTTCTCCTTGCCTGGTTTCTCTCACCTGGGATGCGAAGATGCGGGAGGATGACCGTGTGGCCATCCATGAGGCGATGGAGCAGCAGACCATCTCCATTGCCAAGGTGAGCTGTGGATTGAGCATCCTGCCCTGAGGTGGGAATCTGAGAGCCCAGCAACCAGCAGTCACACATCTTTTGCCAGAACTGCCCATTTTAGAGCCCAGGCAGTGGTATTGATGGTTGCTGGTGTCGCTGGTCTGAGACCAGTCTGCCCTGCCTGGAGGCTTTGGGCAGCCTGAATTTCATGGCTTCCCCTTTCTGGTGGCTGTCAGGCTGCACCTGCAAACCCATTGCTTTGTGCCATGGCTGCCCAGGAGGACTCAACCCTGTCTGCCCAGTGTTTGTCTCAGATCACAAATCTGGGGTGAGATCTCCTCTGCCTCTGCCCTTGACAAGAGGTTTTAAAGGAAATTACTCAGTGGTCAAGTCTCAGCTGAAGCCAGTCCCCTTCCAGAAGGACATGTGGGTCTGGCCCCACCATTACAGAGCAATCGGGTGCTACTTTTTTAAATGCAAGTGATTGACAATGAGTCCTTGAAAATGGCTTTCAACCTTCCACTGAATAATGACCTGCTGTGACATGGAGGTGGTCTTGACACCATCCTTTTTTTTGCCTTTACCCACAGGCAGGAATCACAACCACACTCAACTCCCGCTGCTCGGTTCTGGCAGCTGCCAACTCTGTCTTTGGGCGCTGGGATGAGACCAAGGGCGAGGACAACATTGATTTTATGCCCACCATCCTGTCCCGATTTGACATGATCTTCATTGTTAAGGATGAGCACAATGAGGAGCGAGACATGGTGGGTTGAGCCACGCGGGTGCTGCTGGGACTCACGGTGCCCCTTTCTTTGGGAGGAGGAGGAGGCAGGGGCGTTCCTGCTCTCTGACTGCCTTCTGCTTTCCCAGACACTGGCCAAGCACGTGATGGCCTTACACGTGAGTGCCTTGACGCAGACCCAGGCCGTGGAGGGCGAGATCGAGCTGAACAAGCTGAAGAAGCTCATCTCCTTCTGTCGGACGTGAGTGATGGGCGTTTCTTTGGCACTATCTGGGCAGTGGAAGGCAGTGGTGAAGGGCAAACCACCCGGCACTCTGGATGCCCTTTCTCTTAACTCCTGCCTCGAATAAAGGGTGCAAGAGGAGCTCTCAGTGGTGCTGCAGCACCCGAGGGCTGGAGGGGTGCCCAGGGGACCCTCCCTGGTGGCGCTGCCTCCAGCTCCTGTCGCCCCTTGCAGGAAATGTGGCCCCCGGCTGTCGGCAGGGGCGGCAGAGAAGCTGAAGAACCGCTACATCCTGATGCGCAGCGGCACCCGCCAGCACGAGCAGGAGAGCGACCGCCGCTCCAGCATCCCCATCACTGTCCGGTGAGCAGCACCCCCTCCTTGCCCCCCAAAACCTCTGGGATTAGGGCTGCGTTACTGGGCTGATCCAGGAAGGAGCTGGGGTGTGAGGGTGTGGCCCTGAGCCCTGCAAATGCTGTGGCAGGGGACAGGAGGTGCATGGAGTGGGATGGCAGGAGTCAGGGGGAAGAAAACACCCTTGAAAGCTGCAGCAGAAAGCAGGGAATGTCTCTGGCTGCAGGCAGCTGGAGGCCATTGTGCGCATTGCCGAGTCCTTGGCGAAGATGAGGCTTCAGCCCTTTGCCACCGAGACAGATGTTGAGGAGGCCTTGCGGCTCTTCCACGTGTCCACGCTCGATGCGGCCATGTCAGGCAACCTGTCAGGTGAGGAGGAGATATTCTGTGCTGGGGGTAGGAGAGACATGCTGGACCTGGCTGCTCAGGGCAGGGAGAGACGAGCTCCTCTCTCAGGACCTGGCTGCTCAGGGGCAGGTGCTGGACCTCCTTCCTGAGCAAAGGCAAAGCCATGCTTTTGGCAGCAAGGGGCCATCATGGCTGTGGGGCCATGCCTCACAGGGAGGGCAAAGGCAAATGCCACTGAGCATCTCCTGTGCTGCTCAGGCCTCTTGTGGTCCCAAGGGCAGATTTTAGTGCTGGACATGGTTCCCTAAACCTATTCATCCTCTAAGATCTTTTTCTGTGGGCGTGAAGACAATGTTTCCTTGGGTAGCAGCATGGAACAAAGGGTTTGAAGAAAGCTCCAGCAGTCAGGTGCACATTCAGTTCTGTGGTTGGAGCTCCACAGCCTTTGATGATGGAGTTGTTCATGGGTTCCCTGCAGTCTGTAAGCTGTGCAGGTGTGGTGGGAGGCACAGGAGATGGGCATTGTGTCCTGGAGAGTGACAGCTGGGCGGCACAGAGAGCTCACACAGCGTCTCCCTGCAGGGGCAGAAGGCTTCACGACACAGGAGGACCAAGAGATGCTGTCCCGCATTGAGAAGCAGCTCAAGCGGCGCTTCGCCATCGGCTCCCAGGTGTCGGAGCACAGCATCGTCCAGGACTTCATGCGGCAGGTGGGTCAGGACTCCATGGAGGGCTTGGCTGTGAAACCAGGGACCCCAGGCTGCTGCTGGGGCCGTGAAACCCCTTCCTCAAGAGTGGACTGGCGAGCCTTTTGGTCATGCTTTAGAAGTTGTTTGTAGGGAATGGTATACAATGTGATTGCAGAGTTTAAGGAGACTGAGGTAAGTTTCTGCAAAAGCTCTGAGGGCTGGGGGTTTGGGGCTCTGGGTTGGGGTCCTACCCTTGAAACCAGAACTGTTTGATTTGTGTCACTGGCTGCAGTCAGACCTAAGGCAGGGGAAGGAAACATCAGTGTCTTGGGCTATTGGGCTCGCTTCTTTTAGAGAGTCTTAGCCAGGCTTTAGCAGAGGTTGCAGGTTCCTGCTGAGCTCCTGTCTGCTATTCCATTGCCCATATTCTGCTGGCTCATTGTCCCCTGCTCTCCCCTTTTGCAGAAGTATCCAGAACACGCCATCTACAAGGTGCTGCAGCTGATGATGCGGCGGGGGGAGATCCAGCACCGCATGCAGCGCAAGGTCCTGTACCGCATCAAGTGACCTCCCTGTCCCGGGCTCCAGGAGGGAGCTGCTGCTGCTTGACGCCTACCCAGGAGCAGGCAGAGTGCCCCTGGGAGCTGGGGCCTGCTTCTGAAAGCTTTTCCTTGGAGACCCAAAAAGCCCCAGGCCTCCATCTTGAACCAGGGTTTGTGTGGTCAGGGCGTCCCTTTTGTGCTTTGTTGCTGTGTCATGTCCATGTTTCTTTGAACTCCAAAAGCTTTTAGTTTGTATTAAAAATAAAACCTGATATATTGGTAGCTTGGAATCTTTGCCCCTGCGGGGCAGAGGGGATGGATCCCCTTCCTCCTTTGAAGGGGGTGCAGGATTTTGGATAGAAAGGTGTCCCTCCTGCCTGCCCTCCCTTATGCACTTGCTCTCACTCAGGCTCCAGCCTCATGGGCAGCACCAGCAGCCCTGAAGGCAGAAACTCATTTCTCGCTCAGGGTTTGTCTATTAAGGCACAAAACCTGTTGGCACAAGCTGTCCAGTTGGGCTCAGCAGTGCAGGAGGCACTTTACCACTCCCTGTGTGCAGTCTGCTGCTTTCTTCCCCCTCAGCCAGTGGCAGTGAAGGAAATTATTGGCTCTTTGTTCCCTGCTCTTTGCTAATCCATCTTTGCTCTCTTCCAGGGCTGCAGCAGGGACACCCTTTACCCTGCAGTGTTAAGGGGCTGTGTGAAAGTCTTGCTTGAGGCATGGGCAGAGTTCCCTGCTTGCTCCAGTGAGGATGGAGATGAAGGATAATTCCCATGAGCTATGTGCTGTCCTCCAAGTAGTCCCTGCCACCTCCTCCTTTATGCCAGTGGTCTTGGGGTAGACTGTCCCACACACCAGGAGCCTCTCCTGGACACTGCCCCAGGGTGCCCTTGTGCAGCTACTCACCCTTCTGCATTTGCAGCACAACCTTGCACTTAAAAACTTGGCAGATTTTTGTTATTTCTAGCAAATCAGTACTGGCTCTCTTCAGTGTTCTCACAAAGATGTATGGTGGTGGGTCCCTGCTCTCAGCAGCCTGGGGCCACCTTGGCTGTGAGAACAGTGGTGGGGGCCTCTGAAGACAGCAGAATGTTGGGTGAGCAAAGCTGCTGCACATGTGGACAGGCTGGTGCCTGTGTCTGCTTTCAGGCTGAAAAACCTCAAGAGAGGTTTCAATAGCAACAGAAATGTTCAGGGCCAGCAGAGGGTACCAGAGCCTTGAGGATGCCAAACTGTGGCCCTGCTTGTGGCGCTGCCTCCTTCTCCTAGAGGGAAAACCAAGGGATCCCAGTGGGCTGTGGTGTGGTGTGCACTCAGTCTGGCAGCTGCCACAGGAGGGCTGCGCCCCCTGCAGCACCTGGGGGTTCAACAACATCCCTCTGCTGCTGGGTTTTGAGAGGCACATGGTGCACTCCTTATGTGGTTGTGGAGTTGGAAGTCTGGAGGGGCTGGGTGGTGGTGGCATGGGAAAGACTGGCTGCAAGTTAGAGAAGCAGCCTACTGCTCTTCATTCCCCAATTTTTTTGGTTAGGGATGGCCTTTGTGGAGGGCTAGAAGGAAGAGAAGGCTGACCTAGACTTCCAAAGAATAGGCCAGGATAGGTCTCATTCTAGTGATTTTATTGCCCCATGTTTTTGCATGTGCCAAGCACCTTGCAGTGTTTCTTGGACCAAGCAACGCTGGGGCAAAAGGGGGCCCCTTTGTTTCCCCTTAGGGGAGGAAAAAAAAAGGGCACCTTCTGTCCTCACTGTGCTCCCTGCATGGAAAAATAAGAGAAGGATGTTGCTGCTCCAGGAGGGGATCATCTCCAGGAAGAAGAGTAATTGGATGTGGGAATAGCAGCCACATCCTCCCCTAGAAACCAAAGTTCTCAAGACCACCGGTGTCTGTTAGAGAGCATCCTGCCCTCCTCACGAGCTTGCAGCATCAGGAGTGCTCTCAGAGCAGGGCCAGCACAGGCCCGAGGCAGCAGCATGTGTCCTGGCTGTTTTTCTGCCATGGCCCCTGCAGAGCTGTAGTGATGGGTCCTGCAGGTCCCTCAGCCCCTGCCACTGTCCCACATGTACCTCTGTCCTTGCTCTGAAGGTACAGACAGTGTCTGTCTGCGGTCCTTCTTCCAGAGGTGCACAAGAGCACAGCAAACAGCGAAGTGAGTGTGGGAGTAAGGATTAATGCTGTTAATGCTGCCTCTGGAGGAGGCTGAGCCTCTGTTCCCAGGCTTGAACAGAACACCCGGTGATGGGGCTGCGAGGGGAGAGAGATGGGCAGAGGGTACAGGAGCACAGTGCAAAGGGTTCTATTTTCCTCACGTACCTTCCTCCCCTCCTTCCCTCCTTGCCTCCTTTCTTCCCTCAGACACCCCCTCATCATCACCATTTTTTTTTCTGTGCTGGAGCAATAGGACATGGCTGGATTTTGGCTGCTGCTGGCTGCCAGAGGTGGTCATGTGTCATTCAGAGGTTTTAAATGAACCATCATCTCCAGGAACATCAAGCTGTGCCGGGCGTTGGCAGGTGTGGAGGTTGGAAATTCTAATTTTTAATGTTGTATTCGTGACATGATAAGAGCTGAGGTAGATTTCTCTGCTGGGGATCAGAATGATTGATCTCTTTGTGCCAAGAAATGTGTTGATTATATGGTATGGGGTTATGTAAGTGTACATACGATGTGAAACAACATCGGTTAGCAATTAATGCATGCAGTGTTATCACAAGGAGCGGAGCTGGGATGTGCACAACTGATGTTGTTTGGAACTTGAGATCACTGGTTCGTGCTGGCTTGTGTTGAGCAAAGCACTGCAGGTGGAAATTGTGTGAGGAACAGCAGTTCTCAATTGGGTAGGTGCATGGCAATACCTGCTTGATAAAGGACCATCATCCTCCTGGTGAAGGTGTCTCTTCTTGGTCTCATCTGAAGTTCTGGCATGCTGAGATTTGGGATAAAATCCCTGTCCAAGTGTTGTTAGACGACCAAAAATACTAACAGAGAGAGCAAAACCAGTCAGGCTTAGCCACTTGGATGTGAGCAGCACAGCATTCCCTTACCTAGCCTGCTGACCTGACCCTGTCCCTTCCTCACCTCAGTGCTGCCTCTGGCACAGGAAGCCCTTTCCCTACCTCTGGCTTGTCCCTTTGGGAAGCACAGTTGGATAAATGTAATCACCCCAAACCAGGCAGGCACCAACAAGAACCAGGTGCCTTTGGCTCAAAGCTTTGGGCTGTTGTAGAGAACTTTGCCACAATGAATTAGTGCCCAAAGAACTCGCAAACTACATCTAATTCGGCGTGAGATGGGTTAATCTGTGTGAGTGGATCACTCCAAAGAGATCCAGTCCACTGGGCTCTTGCCAGCATTTTTGGTTGTCCGAAGACATAGCCTTAAGCTGCACCAGGGAAGGTTTAGGTGGGACATTAGGAGGAATTTCTTCACAGAAAAGATGCTTGGAATGGGCTGCCCAGGGAGATAAGACTGGACGTGGTGCTTAATGCCATGGTCTAGTTGATATGGTGGTATTAGGTCATAGGTCAGACTTGATGATCTCAAAGGTCTTTTCCAATCTAGTTGGTTTGTGATTTGTGAAGCTCATCAGAATATTTCTGTGAAATGTCAGTGGAGCTCCACTACTGTAAAATCCAGCAAAGCTGAGTCATCACATCTGCACCACTCAGATTTCTTCCATCTCTGTGTGGGATGAGAGCTGTTGCAATGCAGCAACATAACCTCTGAGCATGTTGTGAGTGTCACTTCCTCCATAAAATAAAACAGAACCGAACTGCAGAGTCCTGAGGGCTATTGCTCAAGGATGTGAGATAAACACTGGCGACTGGGATATGCTGATATGGGCAATGTGAGAAATAATCTCATGTGGTCCAGCAAGCACCAATCTCAGACAAATGAAGTTGGGACTCCTTCCTCCTTTCTGCTGCTGACTTGGTTGAGCAAGTGACTTTATCTCCTTGCCTGTTCTGGATAATAACCTTTTTGGAGCACAGATCACTTCTTACCATGATTTTGTGCAGTGCCTGAGAGAGCCAGTAGCCCAGTCTCAGTGGCAGAGTTTACCTGCTGGCTTAAGTAAGATTAATACATTCTAGGGCTTCTTGTTAGGATAAGAAATTCTCTCCTGCAGGCAAATTCCTGTGATTTGCTCTGGACAATGCCAGAAAATATGAAGAAAGCAAGGAAGACTGTGGTACAGCAGTGCTGTGCTGCCATGTGGAAGAGCACACTTGTCATGGGTCGGGATGCCTGTGAAGGGCTCTGCTGGGTGGGGCTCTCATGCTGAGCCTCAAGTCCTCTAAGTTTGGTTAGCAGCCTGTATCTCCTAATTCTGGGCTAGGTTCCTTCAAAAGCCCAAACCATTCATTCTCCCACAGCAGTGACATACCAATGTCTGCTACTGCTCTTTGTCACATTTTGCCATCCTTTTGCAACATCCTTTGCTCTTTCCTGGACACCTCTGCTCCAGGTCTCTCCCAGCAATCCCAGGCAATCTATTTACTCCTCCTCCCCTCCACTTCTAGCCTCATGCCTGCTCTCTCTTCTCATCTGCAGGGTCATCCCCTCCTATTTCCCTTCCAGGCCATTGTGGTCTGTCAGCAAAAGCCTCCCTGCTTCACAGGCAGGCAGGACATCGGGATAACTTGCTGGATCAACTCTCAGCACTGCCTGTTAGAAATAGGACACCAAGGGACATTCCTCAGAGAACACTCCCTGGACCATCTGCTGCTTCCTGGCCATTCTTCTTCTTGCCCTTCAGCTTTCACCCAGCCAAGGTGCTCCACCTCTCCCCATTATTTATCTTCACCTTATCTTGCCTCCCTTTTTTATTTTTTCATGAAGTTTTTTTTTATTTCTTTTTCTCAGACTAGTGTGTGGATAATTTGGCCAGAAATCCCACAGATCTCTGGCCAGGGATGCCAGGCAGCACTGGTTTATAAGCCTTCTGGACCCTCAGAATAAAAGCAGGAGCACTATCCTGCTTGCCTTGATTCCAGTACCCACAGACTGTGCTGAGTGGGAAACAGGTCTATCCATAGCTGGCCACATGCTGTGTGCCCGTCAGCACCCAGCACCTCTGCAGTTTAAATATGCATCTATAAATAGGTGCACAGGCATCCTTCCCTTCTGGAAATCCTTCACTTGATAGAGTCTGTCAGGTTTCAAACTGCACCTGGTACTTTTTAGACTTTGACACAAATGATCAAAAAGGTGAACTGCAGTTTTTCACTAGGACTCTGGAGCTAAGTGCATAATGTTAAAGATATTTATAGGATTTTTAGAGAAACAGTTGACAGCTCATCTCGTCTAGCATACAGGTAATATCACTGTCCTAGACCCGTGCACCAGAATAAGGTGCACAGTATACATTTTCAGTTATCTTCCATTTGTGTTTTGTTATGACGAGGTCTTTGGTGGTCTGCCCAGGAGGGCAGACTGTCACCAGTCTGGGAGGTTTGTCATTCATGTGGGTCCAGCAGGTGAAGGGTGAGGGCATGAGCTGGGGAGAACCAAAGACACAGAGGAAAACAGCTTTGCCAGCACCACATGGCTCCAGCAAACTGCTCAGTGCCAGACTCTGCATACCTGATGCTCATTCCAGATCTTTTGGCAGTGTAGCTGCTGCAATGGGGGAACTACAATGTCTCATTTACCTGGCTTCTCCTGAGTCAGGCAATTAAAAAATATCATGGTTTCCACAGTAACATCACTACTGCCACGCTGCACCAACATCGCTTTACTGTGCCCTACTCAGGTACAAATGCAACTTAGACTAATAGATAAATCCCATGCAAAGAAGGTGAAGCTGCTGCTGTTGCATCTCCTGCACTGGAGAAAAGGGTAATGCTAGGTCAGAGGACCAGCTCAGGAGAAGCCCAGCATCTGAGTCCCTTCTCTATGAGAAAAACCAGAAGACCTATTTGTTTGTGGCTCATGCTGCACGCCCCAAATCCAGAGACATAATTTACAGTCGTGACCCCTTCACCTTTCTTGCTCCTCAGAGGATAAAATGGTTTCCTGTTTATTTCAAGGGGCAGCTGTTGTATCCACAGGGGAGAGCAGCATTCATGGTTAATATGGCTGATGTCCAGACACGTTTTGCAGAAGTTGCTTGTTTGTTTGCTGGGCTGTCCAGCAGCTGCTGAATGTCCTGTCTTTGGGAATAGGAGACTCCCAGGCGATTCTCAGATGCTAGAGCATGGGAGAGGACTTGTTCCCCCCACACTGGGATCAGCAGGCAGGGAAGAGGTCCTGAGGTCTTTTTCAACATCTGCCATGTGCTGAAGTATTTTAGGAACTATTAGGTCTTCCTTTGACTTCTTCACCTGGTTCATGTGAGGCCCAGAGATGTTCTGTGTTGCCCATGGGAGAGCAGAGGCAATGCTCTGCCTTGGGGTCTCATAACCTCAGTAAATGCTGCTCCACATGAATTGGGGTTCATAGCCAAGGCTATGAGACATGCAGGACCAGTGAGAGAAAATTCCTGGAGTCAGTGCCCAGAGAGGCAAGAGAAGTCTTGAGATGTAGACAATCCCAAAAACATTATCACCATGGGAGTCGCTCCTCAGGCTGCTTTTGTGGTCACTTGGACAGAAGAAAATGTCCCAGATGTGGAGGATGCAGCTCCAAGGAGGTTCTCTGCCAGACATGCCATCACCATAGGCCATTTTTTGATCTCCGTCAGCTTGGAAGAGGCAGTTCAAAGTGAATACCCATGGGAAGGAAGCATCAAGGACAATTAAATGCAAGAGAAAGACAAAGCCTGATGCCCTCTGTATGTTTCTCTGTTGACATCAAGAACACTTCTTATGTTTACTTTTCTTCTTTGCATCTGCTTGCCAGGGCTGTGTTGGCTGTTTATGTTTTTTAATGCTACAGTGACCCAGATTTGGAACAGACAGGTGGTGATCCAGGCAGTGGGTTTGTATCTGACTCTGCTTATGCAGTCAGCTATGAAATGCTGAAATTGAAAGAAATTAAAGCCTAATCTCCAGTGACCCATACACAGGCATCAGAGTCACCATCAGTCTGGAACTGGGGCACTGAGATACAGATTGAAAAGTGGAAACCTGGCAAGAGCTGGCCTAATGAATCAGTTGTGCCCTCTGGTCAAGCCTTTGCTGGTACCTATATTTACTCATTGGCTTTGCTTTCCAGCAGCATATCCTGTGTGCACCTCCAGGCTGGAAAAGGTGCTGCCTCACGGGCATTGCAATAGCCAAGGGCTTTGGAGAACTCCTGTTGAAGTGGTAGTTTGCTTAAAGCATGTCATCCGCCTGCTTGTGACATAACAAGAATGTGAATGGTTCTGTTCTGGGTCACAGCAGGAGGCAGGTGAAACCTGTACTCCAAATCACTGTAACTTCTCTGCTAGTTAATTTCTCTGCTTCTTCTGGCCACTTTTGTGGCTTCCCTCATGTGAAGGTGCCAGCAGCGCAAAAGGAGCAGTGAGAGGCTGCCCAGGGCACCACTGGGTGCTGGGGGAGGCGAGGGAAACACAGGGCTGGTGGGAGCAGCTGGCAGAGGAGGTCTTGTGTACAGCATGCCAGGGCAGCCTCACCTCCCAGTCCTAAACTGCTTCCCAAACTGTTGTCCAGGTCTGTTATGCTCATTGCTGGTGATCACATTTATTGCAGCAGGATGTCAGGAAGAGTCCAGATCTTTGCCTCGCTATCTGGAAAGAAGTAATCCCTGCTTCAGTGCATTTCAGCCAAATACACTGACAAATAGCAGAGGTGAGGACTGTAATATGTTAGTGAGAGAAAAACGGACTGCAGCGCTTCTCTGCAGAAGGAAAATTGGTTTCTGTTTAAGCACAAGTTAAATATCAGAGAAATGATGATCTTACAAATGAAACATAACACCCCCAGGGGCTTATTCCTGTATCAGCCACTAATTTACTGTATGACCTTCAGTAGCTCATTTAATCTCTCTCTGCCTCCATCAGTTTTTTGCCAAACGAGCCCAGTGACAAATTCCTTTCTTGCAGAGGTCTTGTGAGGACTATGCATCTCCACGAGATCCTCACGGGATATATCAAAGGCAAAGTGTTTTCTCAACGAGATCTGATTTCATCTCCTCATTGATGTAATGTGGCACATTAGCTCCTTGTGCTAAGCCTGGAGCCTCCCACTCAGAGCCCATCCCACCTGCCTCACATGAAGGCGTGTTGCCCTTCCGCAGCCACTTCTCAGCACACTTCCTTCCTCTCCCCTGCTTCCTTGGATATCTTTTTAGCCTCCCTAACACCTCCGCCCTTGCCGTAGCTTGCCGGTCTTCACAGAAGAGCCCTTGCCTTGGCACAGATAGGCAGAGCCAATCACTTCCCTTTAAAGAGAGATGTTGCCTCAGCAACCAAAGTTTTGAAGTTGGGCAAAGTTCTGAAGAAAAATCCCAACCAATTGTGATGGGAAATGACACTCGGGAACAAATGTACCACGTTGCCATGGCAGCCGGAATATTTGCACAGAACTTGGTGTTTTGAAAATATAAAAAGACTGTGCTTCAAATGAGTCCAACTAACTTAATGCCTTTGTCAGGTAGCTGCACAATGCCAAGGGTCTGGCATTTGTGTTTTATACCTGGCATGTCAATGACTTCATCATTTCTGAAATGAAAGTAACTTCTGCTCTCAGTCTGACAGATGAGTATTTGAGAACACATGTTCTTCCAGGCTGCCTAGTCTGGTATTGATCTGTTAGGGTTATTTCTGTCATTTGAACTCCATCAGTTCTTGGTTGTCTTGGTTTCCACATCTGTGTTTCATCTGTTATTTCATTTGGTGCACTTCTGTGTCTCAGTGTCTGGGCTAAAAACAGCAGGTGATTTGTTCAAAGGCATGGGTCCTCTTGCTAGAACCAGTCGTTCTTTTGAGCCATGAGGTGCATGAGTGGCTTTCAGGGAACACAGACTTTTTCATTCAGCTCTGTGAGCTGAACCAAACATGATTTTTCTCCATCAGCTAGATGCCTTCTCCTAATTACAGCGAGGAAGAGGAATAATCAGCCTGAAGGTATTCCTGTGTCTGTTAGACAGACTCACTTTGCAAACCCAAATGTGAACTGAATTCTTCTGAGAGTCTGTAAGACCATCCAGATCTGGAGTTCATCACCATTTGCCCTAAAAAGGCTTGATTCTTGTTTGGCAGCTTCTTGGTAGGGCTTGCTGTGACCTGGGAAGTAAGAGCAGAAGGAGGATGAGAAATTGAATTTTGGTGATCTGCTGCTGTTATTTTTCACTGGTGCAGGCAGCCATCCCTCTGGTAAAAGCAGGCTGGGTAGGAAAAGGAGTATGAGATGCAGCAGGGAAACAGGCCCTGGTCTGGTGCTGGGAAGACTGAATCCCAGACAGTTCATAGGAGGCAGATTCTCAATATTTAGCTGAGAAATAACCTGGGGCTCTGACACCACATTTCATTCCTTGCTGATGAAAAGGTAATCATGGGAACAGCTCTCTCAGCTGGCCAGAGCAAGTATGACTTTGGCAAAGTCAGCTCTCCTCTGTTGGCAGAGAAACACCTCAGCTGAGGATCCACCATGCTGCGGGTGCCAGACGGGTCCCCAGATGCCAGCTTGGGCTGGGTGCACGCACAGAGCACGGTGACACGAGGACTTCCCCCCTGGGCTGGGCCACAACTCAGAGATCACATTCCACCATCATCTGGGACTTTTCTTTGCCCCTTGTCCAATGGAATATGTTTCTAATTGCCCAAGCCTCCCTTGCATGACATCATCTGGGCTTCTGCTTCATCATCCTTAGCATCCTCCCCATTGCCCTGGGTGGTCCCGCGCTGGCTGCTCTGACTTGTAGGCTGTGTGGGAGTGACCTAATTTGGAGAAATTGTGGGAGAGGCATCAGGAAGCCCACAAGGAAGTGGGAATTTCTGAGCTCTTTGGCAAGGGCTCAAGCCACATATCCCTCCCCTGCAGCTCCTGGGCACTCTTCCCTGGGTCATCTACTCCCCTGGTCCATGTGTGCATCTCACCCCAAATGCTTCTCTCCAAGGAGACAGTTTATCTCAAGTGCTTTGGAGAGAGGAGTCACTGTTCCTAATTACTCACCAGTACAGAGGTTTCTAGTCTCTCATTTTCCCTTGACAGTTTTATTATGGAATTTTTTTTTTACTCTGGGCTCTCTCCTTTGTGTTTTTGTGTGGCTTTTACAATAGGGGCTCTTCAGTGCTTGCTCTCAAGCAGCTCCAGTGAGAGACTGGCTTCAGACAAAACACACAGCTGCCTCTGAGGAGGCAAGCAGAGAAATGCTGGCTGTTCCATAAAGGCACGCTCTGCTCAGTCCCAGCTCCCCAGCCTCCACTCCTACACCTGCCTGTTCCTCTCTTGGCCTCCACAACTGCTGCAGACTCGAGGAATGGAGTCAGTCCCATGCCTGGTGACAGGTTCCTCTTTGCAGCTGTTCTCAGCCCATGGCGTTTGGGACTGCAGGGCTATGAGCTTCATCCCTCATGGAACTCCTCTCTGCCCCTCCACCTAATTACTCCTTCTTATCTGCTGTTTGTACAGAGCCATGTCAATAGATGGAAAGGTGTGGTATGTACCCAGCAGATGAAGATGGGATCTGGAAAATAAATGGAAAGAATGTGAGGTCACTCTAAATACTCACTTCAAATGGATCCCTTGATCTGAGCCTGTTGAGGTCTGAGGCAGTTTTGCTGGAGATTAATGCCACAATTATTTAATAAAGAAATTGTATAAAATCCATAGTCATTAGTACATTTGAGATTGTTCTAGTTTGCTAGACGAGTAAGTGCCTACAGCAACCCCATTTAGGAGGTTTATTTTGTGCTATGAGGGCTAAATATATTTCTGAACCACACACTTTATCGAGTTAGACAGAAGCCTCTTCTCAGTCCATGTAAGAAAAAGCACAGAGAAGCATCATTAACCAAAATTAAAGTATTGTCCTGCACATGATCCTGTCCACCACATATTGTTATTTTGCATCGAATGGGTCTGTTTCCTTTCAGTGTACAGGGTATAAGGATATCACAGTCGCCATGTGAGATCAGGGCACTGAAAATAGATTTTGTGTACCCCAGCCTAAGGCAGTCAGTCTGCCCCAGCAGTGAAGGCTTTCAGGGAGTGGGATCTGTGTAGGGTCTTCAGATAAGGAGTGAAGGTCTGTTTCATGTTATGTTAGTATTTTTTGCTTGTGTTGTAATTTCTTTTGGAAGGGATGAGTAAAGTTGAATTGGTGGGAATGAAGCAGAACTGGTTTTCTAGAGAAGTCCCAGTGGATCCGTGGTGGTTGCTTTGCTAATCCTTTATTGCTCAGAGTTTACTCACTCTGTCCAGAGGGGACCTGATCAGCAGCAGCAGAAGCTGCCTCGCCGGACAGAGCGTGGTGACATGGATTTTTCCCAGGATGGTGAAGATGGCCGTGTGCCATTACCTCTGACAGCTCCTCACAGGGCCTGTCAGGAAGATTTCTGCTCCGTGGTTGCCTGCAGTTTTGGTGCTTGGGCTTTGATATGTGCACAAGTTTTTGTGTGTGTGCACTCATCTGTAAGTTGTAAATTACTGTGCTGCTCAACCAAAAGACACTGTAGCTCCTTCTCAACACCCTTGAGAACTGTTGGCTGGAAACACTACCAGCATAAATAACCAGGGACACCTGCAATTTCCCACATCCCAAAATAGGAAAATGGCTCCAATTTCTCCCCATACTTTATTTTTTTTTTTTTTTTTTTTTTACTGGGGGCTTGTGACTGAATGAATCCCTGCTTTCTGGTCTCAGCAATTGGCAGAAAGCACTGCTTATAGTGTGTTACAGATGTGCAGAACCAGCCCCAGTGCCAGGGCTGGAACAAGGCCCTGCCACCCCTGGTCTGCTGAACTGTAGCTTCAGGAATTTATTATAAAGTCAGGGAAGGAGGAGGAGGAAGAAGGAGCTGAAGATCACATAGGATTTTGGTACATGTGTGACAGAGCAGAGAGGGTGGCATCACTGACAAGTGCGGCAGAAAGAAGGAAAAGGGGTAGATGAGGAAGGAGAGATTAGGTGTTGGTTAGAAGGAGCTTCTGGAAATTTGCTCTCCACCTAAAAGCTGTCTGTCCTCAAACAAGGCATGCTATGACACCCCTGAGGCAGTGGGACTGGATACATCCCAGCTTCTTGCAACCAGGGCAGAGCTGTTCTTGTGCCCCAGGGCTGCACTCCCTTCTTGCGTGCACCGGGGGCTGCTAGCTTGGCTGTGCACTGATCCGGCCTCTGCCAACACCAGTGTGAGAGGCAACGTAAAATGGGTTTTCCAGTAACTTTCCTCAGCAGATCTCCCATCTCTCACACCAGGAGGTCCAGCACCTCCTCTCAGGACAGGTTTGCACCCAGCCCCAAGCCTGAAGACGCCGCTGCTTTGAGGAGACAGTGGCAGCGTATCTCCCACATCCAGAGGAACGAGCAGAAGACAGCAGAAAGAGAGAAAAGCATGTTGATCAACACCCAGGAGCCCCTGAAATCAGAAAGGAGGTGGGAAGCGTTATCTCTGAGTATTGAGGCCATCAGTCTGGAGCTGGAGTACCGCTGAGTGGGGCAGGCAATGACAGGTACACAGAAATAAATGACTCACTCAGGAGAAGGTCAGCCACGCTTGATTTGCCAGAGCCAATTTGTGGCGAGCGTGCAAGCTGTGGCATGCAGCAGTGACCACTTTCAGAAGATTCGTTTTGAGGCCACTGTGAATCTCACTTGTTGGACAGCATTGCCCTGAGAGCTTTCAGCCAGCAACATCTCACCCTGAGGAGGGCTGGGGTCCTTATTGTCAGGCAAGGCTGGTCAACACATGGAAAATTTTAGTGAAATCAAAAACATTAGGATTTTTGTCGCTGTCATATTTTCTGAAAAATCCTTTTCCATGATTTTTTCTCCTGAGAAGCCTCAGAGGAAAAGAAAAACAATCATTATCTGCTGCTGTGGAATTCAACAGGTGCATCTTTCATTGGTCCATGCGGATTGTTTTTACTTGATGACCAATCATGGTCCAGCTGTGTTGGACTCTCTGTCTGTCATGAGTTTTTATTATTCATTCCTTTCCTTTCCTGGCCTTCTGATGAATTCTTTTCTCTATTATTTTTAGTATAGCTTTAGTATAGCACTTTTTAATGTAATATAATATCATAATATAATAAATCAGCCTTCTAAGAAATATGGAGTCAGATTGATCTCTTCCCTCATCCTGGGACCCGCGAACACAATGACAGGTTTTTTTTTTTTTGCAAAACTTCATTGTTTGCTTTCTCACAGAGAAAAGGAAAATGCTAGAATTTCAGAAGAAAAAACCCCACTTTAAAATTTTCAATACTTCATTTTCTACCAAATCCACGAGTGGAAATTGGTGAAGATGGCTTCATGAAGATGGATTGAATGAAGATTCATCTTGGAAGGAATAAAAGAGGTAATTTCTAAACACATAAAGGAAAAAGTGAGATGATTTTCCACAAGGGTGTTTTGTCATGCTGTGTTCCATGTCTCTCAGTTTGCACAGAGGGTCAGTCCATGAGTACCCACTTAGGACACCCTTTGGTGACAACATCCTCTCAGCAGAATTGTCCTGGGACAGCTCAGATAACAGAACAAAACATTTCTTCTTCTAAAAACAGCTCCCAGGCAGTCTCTGGGCACTCTCAGTCTGATTATTTAAGTGGAGTTTGAGTACAAGATGTGATTTGGTCATTACAAACTCCCACCCTTAAATAAATTTACACTGGTGTTTCACAGGAATGTTTACTCCTGCTTCCCTCAGTTCCAGACATTAAACAAATGGGTTTTGCTTAATTAAAAGCACTCTGCAGGGGTGCTCCCTTAGCTGAGAGACGGGAAATGAGGAAAAGAAACAAATGGGGGAAAATGAAATGTATTTCTTCTCTTGGAACTGCAGATCTGTGTCAGGATCTCCCACTCCACAATTTCTTTTTTAATACATGTTGGCTTAAAGTTAAAAATTTAAAAATCCATAAAGCAAACCAATTCATTTTAAGTTTCCCATATGGACCTCAAAAAGAACAAGATATTCCTTTGTACTGCAGCACAGTTGGGAGTCTTCCGTTATTTCTTTTTTTTTCCCCCATTTTTTCCTCCCCTGCTCTGGCAGAGTGGGATGTGTTTCTGAAGGGTGTTATACCTCGCTCTCCAAAGCAGGACTTTCTGTTCCATGGCAGAGAACAAGCCCAGTTGAGAGGGGTCAGGACATTTAGGGACAAGGGTAGCGTACATGCTGTACTCATGGAAGAGTGCTCTCCAGAACCCTGGATCCTGAAGGCGTGGGAGCCCTTACAACTCCATGATTTCCAAGGCAGGTTCATGTGATTCATGCCAGTGGAGCTAAGGTGAATGGAAGGTAAAGAAAGAGGTGGAGGTACAGCCTGAGATCCAACTTTGCCTCTTCCAGCAGGTAGTTTTCCATAAGGAAGAGTACAGCGTGCAGGCTAAGTCCTAAGTGGTGTTGTCTCAGAAGAACCCTTCTGAAAATCAGTAGTTACAGGAATTCCTGAGCCAGGAGATGCCTCTGGGTGCTCCGTTTAATAACCACCAAAGAAGCCAGCTACAGCTACCACAACACCTCATCAAGAAATTCCACTGGAGCAATAATGAGCATTTTTTGCCAAGATCCAGAGAGCTCTTAGTGCTGTCATTTTAACTACATTTTTATACTTGACCATTTTCAAAACACTATAAAATTATACAAGAATGAACTGAATGCTGTTCTGCCTATGTTGGATTGTGAGCTGGAGCTGAATTTGGTGTTTCATTTTAGCCTCTGTGTTGCTAGAGAGATAAATACTCCCAGCACCCTGATGGTGAGCAAAAAAGCCTCCCAATCATAAAGCAAATTGAGAAAACAAATAGCTCTCAACTCTGTTATTATTTATAAGATGAGAATATTTCCTATTCTTATGAAATAATGTGCGAAGCTATTTTCATAGAAAACTTTTGCAGAGCATCTCAGTGCTGAATTCTATGACCAAAAAAGGGTTTCTTGGTGTTTCTGAACTGCTTTTCCTAAACCTAGGTAGTACATAGGATTTTTTACTGATCTTGGACACTTATTTGGCTCCAGAACACATGTCAAGTCACAGTGTTCTGGAGCCAAATGGTGTTCCCAGAGCCTGTCCTGGTACTGAGCTTACCCCTTCATATGCAAGCAAAGGTTACTGTGGAGCATTCACCTTATGAAAATGCTCCTAGAGTGATGGAAGAGGAAAAAGTTTAAACAGCTGTTGAGAAAAGAGGGTTATGCAGGAGTGAAATATTTCACATAATAAGCAAAACTCAAGAAGTAAGCCAAACACCAGGAATAACAAAACAACAGAAAGAAAAGCAGAAATATTTTGAAATACATCAGTGCATCCTCACAGAGATGCCCTTTAATCAACCTAGTGCCATTGGATTTGTTCTCTCCTCACCATTTAAGGAGCTCCTTGCATTTTCTGTGCATCATTGTGACATTGATCCTGGCGTGCAATGAGTAATTGTGTTTTCTTTCAGTGAAAATTTCCAGCCCCCAGCTTGGTTTCTATAGCCATGTTCTTGTAACCATTCTTGAGAGGGTGCCTGATATTGTTCCACTTATTCATTAATAACATGTGTTGTGGCTTTTTCTGATGTAAACATTGGCCATTCTTTCATTAGGTTTTTAATAAACTTGTCCACCACCACATACATTAAGGTGAAAAATTATCAATGACCCCTTTTGCAAGTCATTAATGATGACACGCAATTTGGCTGATGAATCACGAGTTTGCTGTAGATTTAGGCTATGTTTGTGTCCATCTCAGAGGAGTCTGTCCCCTTCTCCATGGTAACTGCTCTGCCTCTGACATCACTAGCCAAAATAGAGCATGGAGGTTATAAAATCCTGAGGGGGTGTGGGGTGGGGAAGAGTAGAGACAGACGGAATGAAAATACAATTCAATAAAGGAAACTTCCTTAACGCTTCAGTCACCGGACAGTGCCCCATGCAGGCAAAATATGTCTGAAATCTGAGAAACTGGGATATCAGGATTCCAGAGCTCTAGATTTGTGTGAGGTTATTGAAACAATTGGGAAAGCAAAACAATCTGTGACTTCTTTTTGGAGTCATGAAGAACTTTATCCATATAATTTTCTTTTTTTGGCGTCAAAAGTGCTCTTCATCACAAAGAGGGTAGTGAAGAGCCTGATGTTGGGAGTCAAAAAAGCTCTTTGACAGCTAGGGACAGCCACAAGAGCAGGAATCGCAGGGTAAGTGTACTACAACAGATGCCAGTACCACTCAATCTTTATGACAACTTTTACCTGTGGCCTGGAATGCTGCTTTTCTAAAACCCAGACCCCAGAAGCCATGAACTAGATGACAAAAAAATAAAAAAAGGAAGAAGAAGAGAAGAGAAGAGAAGAGAAGAGAAGAGAAGAGAAGAGAAGAGAAGAGAAGAGACCTTTTAGGTTAAAAGAGACAAATATAACAGAATAGATCAACACAGAAATTCAAAACCGGAAGGGAAAAACAACGAACCCAAGGTTTCACAGCCATTAACGTTTCACAGTTCAAAGTACAACTGGGAATTTGCTAGGCCCCAGTGTGGTGTTCTGGAGCCATCAGTACCGCAATTCGGATGCCACTGGAGGACAGGATTGCTCAGAAGGCGTGCTGTGGGTGGGGGAGACAGTGGGACTGGGGAAAGGTCAAGAGAAGGGCAGGAGGTCGAGGCTGATCTCTGTTCATTTGGACAGGGCTGTTGGTCTTGGGAGGGTTAAGTGTTTCCTGGGGAATGGAAACTCAGCTCAAGCCTTGTCAGAGCTCTGACATGACAACACATATAAAATAAACACCAGTGGAGTGTTAAGATAAAGCACACACACACCAGGCCTGTGCAATGTCGGGACCGTTTTAGATCACTTCACAAAGCTATTATTCCTTTTTGACTTGTATTTTTAGCCAGTTTTAAACGACATGAGGACTGCTTCATTTAGGGGAAAAAAGCTAATAATGGAGCCATATATTTTCTTATTGCAGCCCTGCTTTATTTACACTGAAGGTATATGAAACCCTCTTTCTTTGAACAAAACAGGAATGAAACAGCAGCAAACAGTTTCTTGGTTCACAACTCTGAGGCAGCATTTAGTCCCAAAACATTTTTCTCTATATTCTGTCGTTCCTGTGTTTTCCCTTTCTCAGTGCCAGCATTTTTCCCCCCTCATAAACCAGATGTAGCAGAGGTTTTGTTTATTTTCACTGTAATAAAATGTCTTCTAGGAAATTCAGAAAGCAAGTTGTGCAGTGAACAGCAGAAAGAATGTAATGTGAGTTCCTGCAAATTTGTACCCACTGTCCCTGTCTCTATATCCACTCAAGAGCCCAAACAACACAGTGATCATGTGTCTGATCTCCATTTGCAGTTTGGCTTGATTGCATACTGAACAGGAAAAATAACTGTTAAATTTATGCTGTGGCCTCCCCCTCAGCACATTCCTAGCTTGAATATCTCCACTTGGTCATTGGTTTTCATGCAACTTGTAAGAATTTGTTATGTTTGAGGCTTTCACTGCAGAAACTAGGGAGACTGATGGCCAGACTGCATTGTCTCATGGCTTATTTCCTTGGGACAGCGAGATGAAAAACAATAAATAAATCCACTCTCTTTTTTCAAAAATTATTATTATTATTTCAATAAAATAAAATAAGGAAAGAAAGAAATAAAAAATGAAGTGAAGAACAGAGGAAGGCAGAGAGGGAAGGAGGGAGCAGTATGGTGAACAAAGCAAAAATTACATTTTAAGACAATGTGAGAGGGGAAAAGAAGACAAGTAATGAGAAGAAACAGAGATAAAGAATCAAAAGTAATCTACAGATAATTTAGGTAAAGGAATTTCACAGTGGTTATTTTATAAAATGAATTTAAACTGCAAATAAGGTGCAATTAAATCATGTTTCTCTATTAAAGACAAATATTAAAAGATATGAAAATTTAGTTATGCCGTCTGCAGAAACAGCTGTCAAATATCAGCTGTTTCTGTTTATTTTGGTGAATGTGAGTTTGGGCATTGAATGTATGCACAGCATATATATTAAATTATATTAAGAGGACAGGTGACACGATTTGGTCCTTTGCCAGGATGGTTTTAGCCAGGTGCTTAAACATACATGTTCCAAACATGGCTGCAAGGATGGATGTTACTCTGTGGTCAAAGACCCAGAGCTGAGGTTTGGACTGGTGTCCAGCAGGACTCAAGGCAGTGGCAGGAGGCTGTTGGAAGAGAGGGAGGAGGTCCCAGCCTGTTTCGTGGCTCAGCCCCAGCTCCATGGGCTGCAGGGCCAAGGCACCTCCAGTCACCACCTTGGCCTCCCTTGCCCCTCGAGATGAGGGCCATGATCATGCTGAGTATCTGCTGCCACATGGCTTCAGACCCAGGACAGGA